GGGTCATCTGGCAGTCTCCGGCCACCTAAATTAGGACCCGGAGACTGCTAGATGACCCTGCTCGGAGCGCCGCCCACCGGAGCAGCAGTGACGCGACGCTCGGCGAGGTAAGTAAGAAGAAACCTGACCAGCGTACTCGCTTTCCTCAGTGCTCGAGACGCTGACTCGAGTATAAGCCGAGGGGGGGGCATTTTTCAGCACAAAAAATGGGCTTATACTCGAGTATATACGGTAGATTATCCGTGTGAAGTGCTTATACAACAGTATTCTTGGGACTGATACATACTCATGTATGTCTTTTCAGATTATGGTAATGATTGATTAGTTAGTTTTGAGTATGTTTGCCACATCAGTACCAGCGAGCCTAACAAGTCTATTTTTGTTTGTTTACTATTTTTTGAACCTGTACTTCTTATTTCTGCAGGTTCAAAGTCCTCTGGCTTACAATGTCCCAGTTTTATATTAACCTGGAGATAGAGGTGAGTAATGTCTGGTTTTGTAGGTACTGGTGTGGAACAGCTGCTTCTTTTGACTTTCTCTACCCTGATTTTTTACAACATCTCTTTGTATATATGGGTAATCTGATTGAATTAAGGTTTTTTTTTTATTTTTTTTATTTCAGTTCTTGCCAGTTTACAATCCAAGCCCTGAAGAGAAAGCAGATCCTGCATTATATGCAAGAAATTTACAGACGTTAATGTCAAAGTGAGTTAGGAGTGATAGTGATTGTGGTCAATAAGAACCTGGGGGACTTGACCTGGGATAAAAGTTACACCAGACAAATACTTCCAGATGTTTGCTAGCATTTCACTTGATTCCAGCATTGCTAGTGATAATTGAGTAGTGTATGGCCATGTTTACAAGCAAATAAAATTCATTGAGGGGAATTTACCAAAACTGGAGCAGACAAAATCTGGAGCAGCTGTGCATGGCAACCAATCAGCATTGCCCTTTTCATTTTTAAAGCTTAACTGAACAAACTGAAGAGAGAAGCTGATTGGTTGCCATGCACAGCCGCTGCAGATTTTGGGGGATAGGCGCATCTGTCATATACCACAATTGACCAGTAACATTATCACCAGTATAACCATCTTACCAATATAATTACTAAACTGATTTCTATGATTTTACTTTTAGAGCTCTTGGCAAACCAGCAACAGAGTATGAGTTGATGGGAGATACACCAGTAGCACCTTTAGGACACTTGAAAGTGCCATTGGACCCTAAAATTTGGGAACTGGGAAAAATCCTACGAAAGGCTGGGTGAGTGATGTCTGCATTTAAAAGTCTTTTGCCAGCTAACACATCACTTAGGATGTTAAGAAAAAAAAATTATATTTAGACTGGTTGGATGCTTCACAAAATCAATAGGTGCATTGACCACAAAATATGGGGGCAAGTGTGAACATGTAAAAAGTCACTGATTTTGCTTCAGCAGTTGTAGAAGGTATGATAAGTTTCACAATTCAGCATTTGGTGGCTAAGTCGAGCACCAAAGGGCATACACCATTAGAATTTTGTGCGAAGCAGAATATCTACCGTATCAATTAGAATGGTGGAATCGAGAGACACAAACGACAATGTTCTCGAAAATGTTCGAGAGGAGCATGTTGGAAAAGTTTTCTCAATCGAGTGAATTTCTAACAGTGAATGTGCTTTTTGTTCAGAAACTCCATTCATTCCAAAATAGAATGTTAAATAAAAACTAAAATTAAACGAAATTTAGAAAGACAATCGGCAAGTTTCTGATGCCAGTATCAAACATTCTGACGAACATTCATGCAAACATGTACCCGTGTATACCCAATTTAAGCCTGGGCACTTACATGGGGCAGGGAATTATGCTTAACCATGTGCTGTAACCTTAGGAACTTTAAAACTTACTAAGAAATTTCAGGGGGCTTTGGTAACAGAACAAATGGGCTTGGAACTGGGTGCAAATGGGAACCAGCACCTACAAATGCTGCTGTTTGGTGTAGTAGTCTAAGTTTTTCAGTAGTGTGATCTGATGGACTGGTCAGCATCTTAAGTGTTTCCACTTTAGCTAGTTGAAGTTATGAATTGCCTACAGTTACCGCTGAGTATCTTAGGTCATCATACTAGCCAGTATATAATTGCCACGGAAACCTTATCAAACTCATAGGGTATCTCATACAGATGACAGTGTAATAAATCATGGTGATGTCAAGTTTCAGAATAATTATGACATTTCTCTTCTCCTTCACAGGTTCTCATTTGACAGTGTGCAAGGGTTGATTGATCTCTGTCTGGAGGGGGTATGTTCTCGTGTGGGACTAGAAGAACTAGCAGAGAAGCTGGGGCTCACCCAGACTGATGTCATTTCCAGAGTCTTCAGTTACTTTCCAAAGGTGAGGTGATTGTTTAGAAGGTTTAGTATTGCAGTATGATTAAAAAAAAACCCAGACATCCTATGGGATTTGTGATTTAAAATACATTTATAAACCTTTCATAAACGAAACATTACCGACCTACTTCTGGCTTGTTGCCTGGTTGAACCACTGGCTCCGGTACATTCATAATCACCGATCAGGAACAAGTACTGTCTGCATATCAGGAACGTGGCAGTAAAGCTAAAAGTCTTCATCTCTGTACATGATTGATCTGAGTTGGTTATTTAAAGAGGTCAGAGGGTCAGCATAACAGCTAGGCAACTAGTATTAGCAGAATAAGATGTCAGCAGTATCAGTTTTGCAATGTGTTAGTTACTAAGATAGCAAGTTCTAGAATTATCTGACAAATCTATGTGGTTAATATGCAATGTCACTCTTTGTCACTCTTACTTTCTCATTGAGAGCTTGCGCTCCTATAGAGAGCAATGACTTAGCAGTCATACCTATTTTCTATAACTCTGTAGTACCAATCTTACTCTCTTTGAGCCACTGACATCGGTACCTACAACAAAGGAGCTTGCAGTCATACATCAGTAAAACATCTCTAATAACACCATCCTCATATCAATGTATGTGTGAAAACCTTCTGTGGTAAAGTTCACGTTTACATTTTGGTTAATTTCATTACAGGATCCAGGGAGCTATTGAGGTTTTCAGTTAGACTAAGGCTTTTAAAAATTGCTCTGTAGACTAAATGATGTGATATCAATTTGTATTATTTGTTATACTTGCAGATCGTGATGAGTCATTTAAAAGATCGGTTAACAGCCATTTAAAAAACCAAATGAAAATAATATTCACTAAAAGCCAGTATAGTTTCCCTTCTACCTTACTTTTGTTCCAGCACTGCAGTCGCAATCAGTCTCTCTTGCATTCGACACTTCCAGCAGTGTCAGATGCCTGTGTCTCCTGCCACATGCTAGTACCTTTCTCTGACTCCCATGTCTCTGCTAAGTTGTGTAGTGATGAAGAATTTGAAGAAGGAACCAGCACACGATGGGAGACCCAGGCGCCTGATGCTCACACAAGTGTATGTCGGAGAGACTGAGATAGCTGCAGCCATGTAACAAAGGAGAGGTATGAATCATGGGCCGCTGGAGAGGAGTGTGTACTACCTCTTCTCTTGCTGGCTTTTTGATTTGTTTGAGACCTGACAGGGTCTCTTTTAAGTAAACTTTGAATTGCTGGCATGTGTAATAATGGTGTGTCTGTCCCCAGGATGCCAGTGGAATGATTGACTTTCGGGAGGTTTCACTGGTTCTAGCAGCCCAGGATGCTACACGTTCTGCAGAGGAGTTAGCAAAGTTGGCATTTGATGTAAGTGATCCTATCCAAAATCTATTGAACAATAATGTACCTGAAAACCTGGTGTCTCTTACAGTCTTTGGTATTTTATTTTTCACTTTAATCATTTTTTCTTCCGTCTTTTGCAGCTGTTTTCTACCTGTGATGCTGATGGCCGCTTTCTGCTATCTGCTGAAGGCTTTTCCACCATGCTGCGCTCATTTGTGGGTTCACCTCCTGCAGAAAGTGGCAAAGTATATGCTGAGCTGTGCACTCATGAAACTCCAGGAGTTGACCGAGGTAAGATGGCTTGGTGACAAAATGCCTCCTGTACACAGACCGCAGAAGGGTGGAGCTACTGCCTATTGTGTTTCAGTTTGTAATCTGCACTGGAAGAATGGCAGCTGGAATCTGATCTCTATTATCAGCACAGTCTAGTTCTTTTTATCCTGGTTTATACGTGGGGCACAATTAAAATAGGAAAAAGTGCCTGTTTCTCTTGTCCTGGTAGTATTTACAGAGCAAAGGTCGCTGTCAAAATCTGAATAGAAAATTTAGGATGACATCATTTGTTATCTGCTCACAATAATAGTAACTTTTCTGACGGATGTCTTTGATAAACTCTCAACAGCACCAAATCAAAGAGAAGCCCTTTGGGTCCATTTTTAATTACATTTTTCTTTTAGGGCCTGTTCACACTAGCCACATGGTAAAACACAGTGTTTTACCATCTTGCTAGTGTCTGCTGAATGACAGCGGTGAGGCATGGCGCTGGTTTTTAACGTTATTTGGTGTGTACAAACTGTACACTCCATTCAGGTCAAGGTGCTGTGATCTCCGGTGCTATCCAGTGCACTGTGGAAAAATGCAACATGACTGCTTTTTTTTTTCCACTGCAGATCACACCTGTGTATTGTGAACAATTGTTTTCTGTGTGCCCTTGTGGAGAGCTGCATTTTTTTACTTCTAAAAAGTGCAGCTTTCTGCATAAGTGTGAATTGGCTCTTAAGGTTTATAAAAGGTATTACATTTGTATTACAAAGAAACGTTTAAAGGAGAATTATCAGGTGAGTGATTTTCACACAACCTCATAGTTTGAGCCGACGTGTGACAATGAAACTGTCACACGTCGGCTCAATAGATCGGGAAGTGAGCGAACACATACCGTCGCTCGCTCACTTCTCGATCATCTCCCTGCAGAGAGCCGTGACTGTCACTCACGGCTCTCTACAGGCATCCCCCCCCCCCTCCGTTCTCCGATCCTCCAGCGCTGACTGGAGGAACGAACGGTGAAGGGGCGGGTACAGCTGGCTCTGCCTCTGAGCCAGCTGTCACTCACGCAGCTGGGTGGATCCAGACATAATTGTCGGCATCCGTTCCGGCTGCGGCAGTCTCATTATATAGCAAGCTGTAGCTCGCGGTATACTGAGCTTTGGGTCATGGGAGGATGCTAGTTTGTGTCCTCCTGTGACCCTTAGGGGAACTATGGGGAAAAACACATACCTCATAGTTCTCCTTTAATGCATGAAAAAGTATTTCTAGAGCACTTTGGGTTTTCTAAGGAAAGAGTACAACAGACGTTATTAAGAAAGTACTCTGTTTCATTGAAACTTCAGGCAGTGCCCTCTAATAAGAGATGAGTCTCTTTGGTTCATTTATCTGATGTGTGACTTTGAGTTTGAGCTATTGAGCTTTTTTTTTACATTACAAAGCTCCAGTTGCTGGCTTTATAGATTATTTTAAAGCGTGTATATTCAAAATTTTTGTCCAGACTGCAATAAATAAATATGTACAAAACAACCATTCATTCATGTAAAGGGCTTTTTACTTACAACATAAAACTGGACTGGCAGGGTTTCTCCCTTGGAACAACTACCTATCAGATCTGTATGGAGTGATAAAGCAGCTGTGGCTTTTCCTTAGTGGGAGGTGAATGCTAGGCCACTTCAGGTTGCAAATTAATAGGTTTTCCATTTCCTTGCTAAAATGGAAATCTCCTGTGTAGCTACCACTTTGTACATAACACAATGCTTCTGTTGCAGTATGGCAGAATCCTATTAATATGGTAATACAAATCGATTGCTCCGTATTAAACCAATTTATTTTTTCTGGAATTATTTCCAAAGTAAAAACACCAGGTTGCCGCAGCTTTCCAGTACAGCTGAACTCAAAGCAAATTTAAAGTGTATGTAAACCCCCAAAAATTGAAATAAATTGCAGCTTACCAATCCTTAAATGTAGTGGCTGCTTTAGTTTCCTTTTTTCAGGCTTTTTTTCTCTTTTATTTGCAGCTGGTGATCTGACCAGTAACATCCTTCCTGTCTTAGGGTGGCTTCGCTCTATGGAGAAGCAACAGAGCCACCCATGGATAGCAGCATTGTCACCCTGTGCAGAGGGTAGTGTTAGATGGACTAAAACATTTAGTTGGATATGACTAACAAATTAAAGCCAAACTCCAGTAAACACTTTTTTTAAGAAGTTACAGCAAAATATTATTTTCCTTTTGGGATAAAGGTTTTGCATAAATTAATAAAACCTGCCCCCCCCCATCAGTGTTCATCTTAAAGGGCTATTAAACCCTTGCATGTTTTTGCATATATCTAATGCTAGCAAGCAGTAGATATATGCAAAACGATAAAAAAAAAAAAAGTTTTCAAAGGGTTAATACTTACCTGTGTCTGCGCCGCGCTCCCGTCCGAACATCTGAAAATTTCTCGGGCGGCCGCAAAGGATCTTGGGGCGGGCGCATGTGCAGTTCAGATTTTCGGCCGGGAGACGAGCAGAGACACAAGGTAAGTATATGGACAGCGTGCACCCGCACAGACTCCGTGGGACATCAGAGGAGTCAGCGCTGGATCGGAGACCCGCACCCAGCGCTGGAGGGACAGCTGAAAACTACACTAAAGAAGAAGATCGGATTAAGAGGCATGGTTTAAGGTAAGTCCTTACACTAACATTGGGGGAAGGTAAAAACAAATTAGCCTTTAATGTCACTTTAATCCCCAATCTGCCAGATCTAAGAATTGATGAGCTGCAATAAATTACATTATTTTTGCTTTTGGGTGTAGATATGCTTTTATGTTTTTCCTTGTAACTACATAAGAGGCTCACTTTTATATTTGATTGATTTCACGTTTTGATCAAAATGTCTTGAGTAATTGTAAATTATTTTCCAGATGGATTTCTTCGATTTGCTCTCCGCCATCCATGCTACCGCCACCTTTTCCTGTTCTATCTGCGCCCTCCAGCTTCCGGGCGCAAGAAGCCATCCCGTGTACAGCAGAATGGGAGCTATGCCGGGAGACACGCTCCTGGGACCCAGCTCAAGTCTGATTGACATGTGGGGGGGTTTTAATGGGGGTTGGGGAGGTGGGGAGGGGGGGGACTCTCCTGTGATGGGATGAGATATTTTTATGGGTTTATTTAGGCTGGAGTACAACTGCTTAGCAGTTCTCTCCAAGTGAGAAAAGGCAATATGATTGAGATTCTTTGTAGTGTCTAAACTGGGAGTCTTATTGAAGGATTTCAAGGTTTTCTTGGAAATGCTTGCCTGCTAGATTTTATGAATGGCAACCAAACTCCCAGACTTCAAAAAGTGGTATTGTTTTTAAGGTCATGGACTTGTAAGAATGCACATGTTATGACAGCAATGTTGAAGGAGCAATACTTTCTGTGTGTATAGTTGGTGCAAGTGCAGATTTGGGGTATTATTAACACCCCCAAACTCTCAGGTCTCAGGGAAACAACCTCCCTTCCCCCAGAGAATTTTACATTTTTACCATTATTTGGATGTTTTATTTCTGACTGCTCCCCATGTATTACTGCTCTCGTTATGGTTCTGAATGATATTATAATTATTTTTCATAAAAACGACGACTCCTGTGTGGTTAATGCACATTTTTCTGGCCTAGAGAAGTGACCTCTATTTACATGTCTCAAAGCCCTACTTGTACACGGGTCACAAAGTGTGAAGCAAGTGTTCAGTTGACCAGTTTTAGCTTGTTGGGCACTGAATTCAATCATCTTGAACCCTACAGTATAAATGCTCTTTGTGAACTTGCTGAGTTGTTGGTTTACAGCGCACATGGTCTGGATAAAATCAGACGGCCATATTTTGCATCAGATGTGATGACTTTAGTGGTCCTTAGACTGCTGGAGCCCAGGTGAGAAGAGGATGCAGGGACAGGTCTAGCAGCCTGGCAGGACCAAGGATCAGGTGAGTATTTCTGCTTTATTTAAACCCCCAAGACAAAATGAGCACTTAACCCCTGCAGTGCGGGGGTAGCCCCACTGCAAGGGTAAGTTTTTTTTTTTTTTTTTAATTTTTTTTTTTAAATGTATTTATTTATATATTCCTGGAGTTCTTTTTTAAATATTATTAACTCTTGCAGTGGGGCTACCCCCGCACTACAAGGGTTAAGTGCTATTTTTTTCCAAGAGTGGGAAAAAAAAAGTTATACGCGCCCAATCCTCTGAGCTCTTGCTAACTCTTGCTCTTAGACCGATCCGTGTAGCGTTTCTCCCACTCTTCTGCAGCGGATGCAAGGATCCTTGAGTCATCAGGTTCTATACACGGTTTATAAGACATGAGGATTATTATTATTATACAGAATTTATATAGCACCAACAGTTTGCGCAGCGCTTTACAATATAAGGAAGACATTACAATCACAATACAATACAAGACAAGATGGTAAGGAGGGCCCTGCCCGTGAGGGCTTACAAACTAAAAGTGCAGAGGAACATATAATTGATGCAGTATAGCCGGAGACAGACAGGAGGGAATGCTGTGATAGCTGGCCAGCTCTGAGGATTGAGTATAACTTTTTTTTTAAATTTATTGTTTGTTTTTTTTTGACCCTAGGCAAAAACAAGCACTTAACCCTTGCAGTTTGGGGGTAGTATGTACGTGTAGTATTGCTGCTTAGTATAAAAATCCTACTACAAGCTGGCTCCTACACAGTGCTCTATATTTCCGAAGCTGGGTGGATGAGAAGCTGCAGGTGTGACAAGGAAGATCTCCAGTTGCATACCTGACTTCTCCTCTCCCTGTGCCCAATCATAAAAAGGCTTGTCATTTTTTCACAGAATGCACAGTGTTCCATTTAGGTTGAACTCGATCAACATGTGTCTTTTTTTCAACCTGACTAAATATATATGTAACTATATGTGTTCTGTGAATGGAGGTGGTGAGATCATTTCACATACCCACCAATGCTCTCCCTATTTCATTCACAAAACACCTTGTAGCCTTGTAGAAGAGAGGGGTTGGTATGTGAAATGAGCCCTACAATGTCACAGCCACAGCTTCTCATCCCTGCAGTGAGAGAAATAAAGAGCTCCGTGTAGGAGCCGGCTTGTAGCAAGATATGATTTTTATACTAAGCAATAGTTACCTGCATCTATTATACTTATTAGGCTTAACATGTGCAGTTTCTCTAAATAAAAATGTTTCAGATTAGCCAAGCAGTGCACAACTAAAGGCAGGAGTAAAAATTAGGCTTTTGTTCATAAAAAGAAATGCAATATTTGATTACATTAACCAGACTGGTTGTTTGCTTCCGGTTTCTTAAATTTACATGTTCAGTTCAACAGCTGAAGCCATTGGAATATTATGTTTGCCGAGTGTATGTGGAATGGGCAGAGAAAAGCAGTTCTGCCTTCACATTGTCAATCACAAATCCAGAAGTGTAGGAATTGGCAGGGGTGTGCCTGTCATGATGGGATAACATTAAGTGAGCCATAATACATGTATACAGGTATTCCAGCTTCTGCAGGCTGCACTTGTATAATACGATGGAATACAATATGTAGAATACAATGTAGTGAGGGAGTTTCTCACTGGCAGAAAGACTGCAGCATCAACACAAATGTAGCTGACATTTATTATGGACATGGCTTGCTCAATTTTGGTGCTTGTGTGCTCAGGATCATAATTTATACCACTTTAAAAGCCTGAAGCAGCAGGAAAACATGAACTGCAAGGGTAAAGTCAGGCTGCTTCTTTTAACCTGCATCTGACAGGATGCGTTCACTGTTTGGCCATAAAATTTCCCCCTGGCTCAGATATTGAAACTATTTCTTTTTTTTCGAGCCAGGTGGTGGTGCTGGCCCTGACAAGCCATGGATGATTTGCTTTAGCACTCTCAAACATGGTGATGGCTGTAGCCTAAAGGGTAAAGGGTAACTCCACTTTCACGGGTGAATAGAAAAAAATGGAATTACCCCCTCCAATCT